ATCCATAACCTCTTTGGGCAACCAGTCCCAGTGCGTCATCACCCTCTGAGATAAGCCCTGCTGCGAGCATCTTGCACTCTAACCAGCCAGGACAGCAGCAAAAAGGGATTTTTTCCACTTTTCTCTTCAAAAGGAACGCTATGTGGCTGGCTGAGAGTTCACAAGAATGGCAGCGCTGGTAGTGGAAAGGAAAACCAGATCTCCCAGGTACCAGACCTTCAAAGGTCGAACATCCTTCACAGACCCTTCTGCATGTTTTTTTCTCTGGTTGCTGCATGATGCCCAACCTTTCTGTTCTTGAAGTGGAGCCTGTGCTAGAGCCACTGCTGCTTGCAGCTGACAGAGAAAGACACAGCATAACTTTCCATGCTTCTGTGCAAAGTCAATGGCAGAATTAGGCTCTCAGTTGAGCCATCTGACCTAGGAAAAGAATATGAACTTAACTCCCACTTTTGGTGGGGCTCTGAATCGAGCCTTGATGAAGTTTGCAGTGTTACCATCCCAGGTAAAGCATAACTAGTAGCAAGTGGATACAGATGGGTCTCCTCATAGGGTGTCACTGTGGGGAAGTTTTCAACCAGCTTGAGCATCTGAGGATCCTGCTTTCCCAGAGCTGCTGCTAGGCATCCTGGAACTGCTTCTCTTGCATTCTCCATTTCTTGTGGTTATGGTAAAAGTGTTTTTTCCACTGCTGGCTCAGAGTACTTTTGCTTGTAGTAATTTTCGTATTGTTGGAATAGTTATTAACCCACCACATAAATATCTGTATGTTTGAGTCAGTGATGAAGTCTCAAGGAAGGAAAAAATAAAAGAGCGAGAGAGACCAGACCACAATCAACACTGATCTATATGTGTAATTGGTGGAACGAGTTTTATACGCGTGGTATTGGGTAATTCTAAGCAACTTCTGTTCTATAGTGGTGTCTCTGTCCCACATTAACGCCCTTTTTGCCACAGAAAATCAGTGCCTTCTACTGAAAAACAGATGGTGACTCAGAAAGTTTTTTGACCATGACATAAAAACCCACAAGCATGAAGTAAAGTTCTCCCCTCCAAGGCACACTACCAGTAGCTCCTAGGACCAAGAGTTTCTGGAATTCAGCTCTGTTCCACATGCTAAGCAGCAGATAGCTTGGCTTCGTGCACTGCATGCACTGGGAGTGCTAGCAGTAGAGTCCCTTTGGGGGGCTTGGCCTTTTTTGATGCTTGGTTCCATGAGGTACGTTTCCATCTGTGTTACTATTTTTCTGGAAGTAGTATACAAGACTGCTAGACAGGAGCTCAAGTGCTGGACAAATTGATGGCTTTGAAGCAGTGAAACCCCAGGGCCAAGCCTGAGATGATATATTTCTATTAGCACTCCCTGCAAGATGTATTTGTGACATTACTGCAAATAGCAGGTGTGTATGGTGAATCGTGAGGGTCTGGCAGGGTATCTAAGAGTGAGATACCTGCCCGTCTTTGGCAGTGCAATGTTATAGGTACAGTTGAAAGGAATTCAGTAACAGTTAGATGGTAATCATTATGCCAAGTCTCAGCCTTGTGATGAGGAACTCTCACTAGACTAAGCCCTAGTACAAGCCACCTGTCTGGCGTACAAGTGGCAGATGGCAAGGGAGTTTGTAGGAGGAGATGCTGGTAGGGGTTCCTTACCCATGGGCATGTTCCACATTCGTACCAATTACCACTTCAGAGTGAAGTGAGCACGATGGCCTGCCGCAGTGTTTGGATAGCACCTGCCATCACAAAGTCTTCATCTACATCCGGTCCTCACATGGCAGTGTGTGTAAATGATGGGGAGTTGCTGCTCTGAGTGCTCATAAGGCCCCTTTTCACAGCAAGTCAGTGGAGTCTTATGGGTGACAGGTCATAAATCCTGAGTTATTTTCTGCATGCTACCTGTCTCAAGCAGTAAATCTGATTTTCATTTACCCTAAGTTAACTTCTTTTCAGAGGTAATAACATTGCCAGTCAGCCTTTCCCCCCCAAATTTGCAAACTCATGGCTAATGGATGGTTTGGGTGGGCTCCAGGACATCAGGAAATCAATTGCTCCCATTCTGGTTAATATTGAAAAAATGTCAGTGTTCAGTAACACTATCCAGAGGCAAGCAGAAATATGAAGTTACAGAAAAGCAAAAAGAAAATACTCTGTCCTGCTGTGCATTACTTATCTCTGATCTGGGCTTCCATGATCAGTCCAGAGCAGTGCTTTGCTGGAGGGGGCAATTACATGGGGCAGGACACCCTGCAGCAGGGGGTGGTGAATTGGGAAAATAAGTCAGGCAAATCAGCAAAACACTTTGATGCCAGAACTCAAAGGAAGGGTCTAGAGACTGCAGGATCAAGTCTATTTTGCAAGCATGAATTGTACCTGTAGAAGAGTATCTTTCTTGACTACCAGGTTACTTCCTGTTAAATTCAAAGTGGCATTCCCATGGAGTGCTGCAGTAAGGGAGAAAGACTTTCATAAGCAAATATTTTTATCTGGAAACCACATCTCTAAGGAGATGTGAAAATTTAGAGACCCAATTCTTATATCTTTTGCACCAATAAATTGCTGTGAAACAAAAACAAGCCTGCTGCCTGTACCTGTGCTGCCCACGGTTGCAGGCAAGTACTTTCTTTAAACTCTGTTTTCTGAAATAATACAGTTTACAAGATGTGTTTCATTCAGAATGGGAAATCAAATTTATAGCAAGCCCAGGCACTTAATCCATTAGCCACATGGAGCTAAATGGATCGAGTGCAATTATCTGCCTGATGTACTCCTCCACCTTAATGGAGCCTTCTGACCACGTCAAAAGAGAAGAAAGGCAAGACACCTGCATTTTGTACCCCCGTGGATAAAGCAGAGCATGGTGAGCTCATTTCATTCTCAACATGAAGGCAAACTTAAAGAGTATTAGTTAGTATGTGGTGTTTTTTTGTTTGTTTGTTTGTTTTTTTTCTAGAAGCCAATAGTGTGTTTCCGTGTATTCTTTCTCTGACAAATGTGTGTCACAAACAAGCTATCTGATATCCAGATAGCATTGTCACTAGCACATAATGTCAGACTGAGCTCTTGTAAGTCCTTGCACCTTTGCACAGTGACTAGCAAAATGCTAAATGAACTGGTAGGTGCCCACAGCCACCCTGACAAAACGTGGCAGAAGATACATTGGAGTAGAAGCCTGGCTTCTGCACTGTACAGTCTCTCCAGAAGCTAGAATGGGGTTTGCTCTGTGGTTCTAGTTGGAAAAAAATGGATGCCTGATGACATACTTATCACTTACTTGGTATTTCAGTGTGTGGCCTCAATTAGATTATGAAATCATAGTTCTTTTTCCTTTTATGCCTCTTATTATTCCTTATTTCCTGTTGTTATGTAAAGAGTTAAAGCATGAACCATTTTTTTTTTTTTTGCTTCATAATTGTGGGGATTTGGGGTAGCAGACCCTGGGAATGCTTACTTCCATGTGATCCAGTGATCTCATCTCTTTATGTCCCTGCTTTCTTTCCCATTCTTCATGTACCATGTCTATACAGACTTCAGATGCTTCAGATGTTCAGTGGTTTACTGCTCAAGTGTTTTTGTAGTCTTACATACATACTCATTGGAGTAGCTGCACTGAAACCTTTATGTTCCAAGATTAACCTGGTGTGAATTGCAATCCAGAAGCTCTTGAACAGATCCCCTATCTAGAAAGAAACAATTTTCTGTACACCACAAGCAACAAAGTAGATTTGCCTTGGGTTTCTTGTAAAACAGTCAGTAATGGTCCCTGTACAGATCTGTGTGGATCAGAGACAAAATTAGAAGACGTTGAAGATATTAGCAGAGATACCAAGAGTACCGTGTGAAGTATCCCCTCCAGCCCTACCTAGAAGCCCTGCCAGCTTGGGCTGGTGTGCAGTGTCTCCTGTCCCATGTAGTGGAATTTCTCATCTAGCTTGGAAACGTAGCTGAAAAGAAGAACCTGGCCAAGCGTCTCCATCCCCTACCCAGCCTCCACCCTGCCTTGAGAACAAGAAGTTTGTTCCAGAGGAAGTTGTGAATGGCTGAATCTGAGCTTGTGCAATCTAGAGGCAGTTCCTGCAGTGGCCCCGACAGAGAGAGGGTCTTGCCCCATGGATTACCCGTGCCATACAGCGTGTTCTGCAAGTGCATTTCCCCTCAGCTTACACTTTCTGAGAATTCATCAGTGTGGGTTGTTAGAGGGAGGGTTCACCCCTTCACGTGTGGTTTGGTAGTCATTGTTTCAAATGAGCTCAGCACTGAGTCATTTAGGATCTCTTCAAAACGTTTGTGTCCAAGTGGCCTGGGTGAGACACGTGGACATCTTTCCTGAGGACAGTGAATGAAGATCTCTTTCCATATCCCCACTGTTGTGTGCCCTGAGACCAGAAATTCAGTCAAGACCCACTGTGTTCCAGACACTCAGCAGGAAAATGGTACTGCAGGGTTCTTCCAGAAGTGATCATAATAAGGAAAGTGGAGACAGAGGAATTTGTCATTTCCACTTTATAGATGGCACTGGGCAGAGAATACCCATGTTAGTGGAAACAATCCATTTTTTGACAGCATGGGTTACCCCAATAGAAAAGACTTTCTACTGCTTTCACATGGTCTTCTTCCAGTGTGAGTAAAGGTTTATTGGAGAAACACTTGAATGCAGTACAGGCAGACAAGTTTGCACTGACTGAGAGAAACTACTATCAAAGGAGCAAACTCTTCCATCTGGAGAGAAGACCCAAAATGCCTTTCTCAACCCATTTGAGAAGGTGAGGACTGATGAGTCCTTCTCTGCTGGCTGACAAGTGTCATTGGGCTCAGTTTTCACACAGAAGTAAATTAAAGCTAAAGAAAACACAACAGCGGGGAAAAGTCCTGTCACCTGGCAGCATGGCTCCCCTGCAGAGAGATTTGTTTTGACAGGTCTGTGTTGGGTTTACTTGTTTATTCTTATTATTATTATTTCCTAATTAAAAGTGATGTCTTTCTTCTTGTGGATCAAGAAGACTGAAGACCTCCTTTCTGTGAAGACCATTTTTGGCAGTGTAATTCAAAACAGGCAGGCATGCACACATGTATGTATGTGCATGTGCACTAAAGAGAATAAATATATGATATTATTTGCTTGATTATGAACATACTTTCCTCTGAAAAGAAATGCCCTGCCTCCAGGCAACTCCTCCTAAATTGAGAGGAGTTTTCTAAAGAACAGATGGGCTGGAATGAGGAATAGAAATATTTTCAGGCAAAAAGGGGCCAGATGATGTAATAAGCCACAGGAACAAAGTTCAGTTATTTTGTGCTCTCATCCAGACCTCAGAGCTGAAAATGCCTCTGTTGTTGATTTCAGATTTATCTGCTTTTGAAGGCTGTGTCTGTCTTTCAGTGCTATTATAATACATATGGAGTTAAACTGACTAAATAGCGATTGAGCAATGGTGGGAGAATATATTTGTCAGCACTGAAAGCACTTGAGTAGTGTTTTCACTGCAGATGATAGATCAGATGTGTGTTTAACTACGTTTGAAGGAAAAGGATACGCCTTGAATGAATGACTTTAGCAGAAGTCCTCAAGACCTGCCTGACAGAAGTGAAACTTGTCATTGAAGTATGGCATTTGAGGGCTCAGTGCTCACAAACACTCCTAGAAGTATAGCTAGCTCTTGTGTCAGTGACTAACTTCCTTCCTGCTCCACTCATAAGCACAGATCTACTGGTGAGGGCTTGTAGATGTGCCTGTTCCCATCCTGTGTTGCTTTAGGGATCTCTTCATGCTCCCACAAGCAACTCAGAGGGAAGCAGACATGTTAGCTGCTCAGCAAGGGCAACCGGTTTGGGCATGTTGGGCTGTATGGTTATACGAGTTCAGGATGGGGAGAGAAGCAGAATATCTTGTGGATCTTGATAAGGACAGTTCAGTAAATGAAGGAAAAGGAAAAACCACGAGTGATGCACCAGCAGACCAATGGCCATCCAGGTATCAAGCAAAGACTCCCTTGGGAAGATTGTCTCCAGACTTTTATTGTTGAGCATCCAACTGCATGGCTTGGAATATCCCTTTGGTTCTACCTGTGTCCCCTGCCCATCTCTGCCCTTCCACTGCACTTCTACTTTTCTGCCCAGCCAAGAGATGCCATCAACCAACAAAAGAATAATGCTTTGTGAGAAAAGGGAACCTGGTGTTTCCAAAGGCCCTGCAAACTGGTAATTTCCTGTGGAGTCCTGATTTCACCTGGGAGGGTTGGCACAGTGCATGAGTGCTTTAGTCAGCAAGGCAACAAGGTTCTTTCATGTGCTGTTGTCACAGGAGGTTGTACCATGAGAGAGAGCTTGAAAAATCACTTGACTAGAGGACAGGTAATCCTTCCTGTTTCTACTCTGTCACAACTGTAAGTCCAAGAGATATAGTGCTGCCTGGTACAGGTGTCTTTCCTCTTAGAGGTTGCTATAACCAGGAACCAGTTGCCATTTAGTAAAATGCCAGATGGGTACAGGGAGCTCCCAGATCAGAGTACAGAATGACACTGCAGTAGGCCAAATGTCCTGAAGTGGAGAAATTTTTAACTGTTTTTGTTTGGAAGCAAAGTTGTGTCTGCTACTCCATCCGTTGGCTATAGATGGAGAAGACTTTCGTGTGTTTAGTGCTTGATGTTCCGTGGAAGTAGGCTGATAGCATCTGCAGAAGCCAAAACAGAAAATACATGCAGGAGGAAGGGCAGGTATGTGGTATGAGGACTTGAATACCTGCCAAAGAGCTAGTATGTGTAATTAATCATTCCGAGGAATTCCAGAGACTGTGTGGTGCAGTGAGGGTCCCTTGAGATGGCAGCATTTCTGACCATAAGTAATGTTCCTTCTTACTCCCACTGACACTTTATGTAACAGTCCTGCTCGAATCCTGACTGCTTGTCAGATCTAAAATAGCTTTCCTTCTGATGTTTTCATGATGCGGGGGGAATTGAGGGGATTTTGAGTATGATACCAGCAAGCAAGCAAGAAAATGTGTTCGCTCTGTGCTGTCTTCTGAAGGAGCAGGGGTGCTTTAAGGCAGATGATGAGGGCCCAGATGCTGAGCGCTATAGTATTTTTCTTGGAAGTTTCCGTACCTGAAATAAGGATTGTAAGAACAAGATAATTTCTTTGAGGGGAAAAGAGACCTTGTGATCGGCCAGATGCTTCAAGGAGTTTTTCCATTAAGACACAAAGTAAAAATCTTAGCGTCACAATCTTAGCTACTTCCTTTACACCAGCTTTCTGACTTCTTTGCCGTGTTGTATTTCCACTTACATTGCAGAAGGCAAGGCTGTTTCTAGGAAAACAGCACAAAGACAAATGTCCAGGTGTATCTGTGGTACTTGAGAACTGAAATTATATCCCAACCAACCCCAACCTGACTCCAAAAGAATTGCTCATATAGCAGCACTTACTGGAGTGATATTTAAATTGCCTTGAATCACTGAAAAAAATAATCTCTAATGCTGTTTCTTTTTCCCCTTCTGTAAGAAGTGGAAGAGGCAGCTCTGTTGGAAAAACACGGTGCTTCAGTGCTCCAGGGAACCCATTGCGGTGCAAGGCAGACGTGAAAATTGCAACAGCATCTTAAAGCAATTCAAGGTGTCAACAAATGAGTTCCCGTCAGGAGAGCTGCTTTGAGGATGCACCAGGCTTATATTCCAGGTCATGGTTCAGTTCATGTTCAATGAACAGCAAAGCTTATGGTGAAGGGCTAGGCTCTGATCCTCTTATTTCACTCAGAGATTTACAAGGACAGAAGCTCCCACTGAATCATTCTGAACAATCTTCCTTCTCTATTAAGTAGAGGAAGTGAAGCAGCGGCTGAAACTTGACCTTGTTTAAAAGAACTCTAATTATTTGCATCCTTCTTATGGTCTGCTGCTGCCAGCAGCTTTCTCTCATGTTGCAGCTGTGAGTCATGCTGGCTTCTCCTAGGATATGTTCATCTGGGCAAGTATTGCCTGTCGTGTTCCATGAGTACACTCCCTTGATCAAAAATCAGAATTTCTTTCAGCTGTGTTTATTTCTCTCTTTGACTGCACTTTTTCTCTGTCTCCATCCATCCGTCCACCATAATCCCACCAAACATGACCAACTGCTTGCTTTTTCTTGAAGCTAACACAGTCTGAAAATAGAGCTGCTTTCAATTTTGTGTAAGGCTAGACCTCTGAAAAATCTTCTCTTCCTCATATCTTCTCAGTAAGATTTTTTGGGATGTTTCAAGGGATGAATCTCAGTTGTGTTCATCTATTCCAAAACTCTGAGGCCTTGGCTTTGTCAGGACAGCCTGCACAAAACAGAATGCCAAAGGTTGTTATACTTACCAAGAGCTTCCTCCTCTGGACACAGCTATGCTTTGTGCTGTCAAAAAGTACAGGAGAAAAATACACCTGAGTATGGGCACAGAAGTGCAGCACAACACACACTGTCTTTGTTTAAAAAATAAAACGACATTTTGCCGAAATAATCATATCAGCATATGGGATTGGTGCCAGAGCAGCCCCATCAGTGAAGGATCACACCTCCTTGGAGCCCCAACTAGCAGAGCTGTGCTGGGAGAAATGCTTGTGCATCCGTCATCCGTCGTTGCCTTATTTTTCTCTTTAAGAGGGTTCTGCTGAAGGGAAGCAGGGAAGAGTGAGAGACCTGGAGTGAATTCCTCTGCTTCCCCCACAGGGTAGTTCCCATGGGAGAGGAGAGGTTGATAAATGGGATGTGAGTTTGAGATACTGGTTCCCTGACAAAAATGCAGCTTGGCTGAAGTGGTGTGAATCCAGGCTGCTTTTGTCTCTTTGGTATTATCTCAGGCACGTTATTCTCATTACAGCTGGAGAGGAGCTACATGAGTTTGGTCCCTGATGGGAGAAGGGAAGCACAGTGAGGTCCCATCTCCCTTCAGCATCTCTGAAATGAAGCTGTACTTCAAGACTGCATTGGCTGTTTGACGCTTGGCAGTGGTCAGTTGACTTTCCTCAATCACCTGCAAAATCACCTGGTGACCCAGTTTCCCACTGAAAAGGCATGTGCATTAAACTTGCTTTACTTACAGGTTAATTTTGTATATTCTATTTCAATATATTTATGGTCACCTAGTCCTATGCCTCCCTGCTTCTGCCATGAGTAACTCACAATCAGGAACCACGCTTGCGGGATCATGGACATGGAACTGAAAGTATCAGCAAAGACATCTGTTTTTCACATCCTTTAACCTCACAATCAAAACCATAGCGTTACCAAAGTCCCTGTAATTCTCTTTGGAATTTTACCTCTGATGCAAGCTTTAGCTCTGGAGCCTGTCAGCCAGGAGGCAGTTGTCCATGCCATCTTGAAAGGAGACATTTCCATGCTGCATCTCCCCAGATTAGCCCTGGAGCTTGAGGATCCTGCAGCCCTGGTTTCTTTGATATACCAAAGCGTTCTCCAAATCCTACTATTCTAGCACTTCAAATCTGATCAAGTGCTGTATAAGGTCAGTGTGTTCAACTTGTTATTTGGGTTTCCTGATGCAAAATTTGTATTCAGTTAGCCCTGGTTTGGATGCCTGTAAAATTCCTAACATGCAAATGTCCTACATTTGACAAAACTGGACTAGAAATCTCATTGGAGCAGCCTTTTGCATGCTGTCCCTGACTTTCCTTTCAAATAGTCTGTCTTTATGATAGTCCTCTTGGGATTTGGGATTTTCTACTCCTGCCTCTCGCCAGAACAGGAGAAAAAAAAAGAAAAAAAAGAGGAATGCTGTAAAATGACAAATGTAAAAATAATTTGCAGAAATGGATTTTTATCCCTAATTTTCTGAACAGCTTTGTTTCAGATCAAAATTCAGGTCATTGCCCAGTGCCTGAGGTTTGTTATTTTTCATCTTTGCAATCCAGAGGATGATGGAACTAATACAAAGTGTTGCCAGTCTCTGTGTGGACATTACTTGGATCCATGAAAATGTGCTCAGTGTTTTCCAGGTGTGAAGAGCCAAAAGAAACCACCTTGGGATACCATGTGATGTTGTTTGCTTTGACCGAGGTTAACTAAAATGAAAGATCTCTCTGAACACGGACTGTTCAAAGCCATCCAAGTTTTTTACATGTGCATGTGAAAAAGGAAATGTGGT